TGATGAAATATAATAAAAAAATTTATTGGTATTTTATTTACACTTTTATGCTATAAGACATGATTGTTGTTGTAGTCTAACTTACCAAAGAAATAATTTAAAAATGAGTGCTCTAAATGACTCTGTTCTAATTTGTGATGTATTTCCAAAGTCAAGAAGGAAGAAAGTGCTTTTAAAAGCAAAAGCATCACCAAAAAATGTAAAACGTTCGTTCTATGAAAGCCCTTTGAAGCATATTCGACAAAGGTAATAGAAAATGTTGAAAACTTAAATTATCTGAATAAAATATACACAAATTCTTTTCTGCAATTGTAGCAGCAAAAGATTGAAACAAATACAAACACAGAATAAATTAATTCGTAATGCTGAACGAATTTCTAACAATAAGAAGAACTGTTTCCTCTCAATGAAAAATGTATCCTTACAAGATAGCGTAGTTATTTTAAGTGATAATGAAAGTGAATCAAATAACAAGGATCCAAATGAGTGTGGAAAAGAAGCAAAGAAAAGAAAAAGTCCTTTGGAAATATCAAAAGAGGATAAACAGAGTTCAAAAGGCTTATATAATTTAAATGAAACCCTAGCTCAAACAAGAACCGAAGAAGAAACATGTACAAGAAAAAGAGGAAAAAAAAGAAAAAGAAAAAATGTAACTGCATTATCAAACAATAGTACACATTGTCTTTTAATATCTGACACAGAAGATTCAGAAATTGCATCTATTGATATAGATGATGAAAATATAGGTAAAAAAATAAGCTTTATATGAAGTTAATATATTAATTTTGTATTTTGTTGTAATTTAAACTCCTGTAGCCCCAGTACAAAATTCTGTGGAACAAGGATCAGATGACATTGTTGTAGTATGGTCATCTACAGAAATTTCTTCACCATCCAGAGATCAGTCAAAAGGAAGAGATACAGATCAGGAACAGGATAACAGAGTTTTTATGATAGATAGTACTCCAAATCCAAAGAATTTGCAATACTTAAAAGATAATGAAGAAATAATACCTAAACAATGTAGAAAACGTGTTAAAAGAAGTAGTAGAGCAGAAGAAAAAGAAGAAAATGTCAATGATATGCCTTTTAGTAGACATGGATTAAAACTTCCTAAACCTTATAATATAAGTAGCACAATTAAAATGAAGAAAAAAGGGACACATAAGCCATTCAGAAATTTAAGATGTCAATTATCAAATATATCTGCTATACCTACAATAACTAATTTGGAGGTAGCTACATCAGCACTACAAACACCACAATTACCTACAGTTGAATCATCTGTACTTCAATCATCTAACAAGCTAAGGGAGATAGTTATTGATGGCAACAATGTAGCTATGGCGTATGTTCAGTCACTACAGTTAACTAATATATAGTAGTTACATATACAACATAATTTTAACATTTTCTAGGCATACAAACAATAAATCATTCTCAGAGGAAGGATTATTGTTAGTTATAGATTATTTTAAACAGAGAGGTCATTCTGTGAAAGTATTTGTTCCCCAACATAGAAGATCACAATGTCACCAATTACTTGAAAAATTATACACAGATGGAATAGTAGTGTTTACACCTAGTCGTAGAATCGGAGGTAGAAGAATAACTCCTTATGATGATCGGTAAATTGTTCTTGTTTTATAATTATTTATGTTTACTCCATCTTTTAAAATGCCATTTTGTTCTTCAGGTATATATTAGAATATGCCACAATGTGTGGAGGTATTGTAGTTTCTTTAGATCAGTATAGAGATTTATATATGGAAAAACCAGAGTGGCGGAGTACAATCGAAAACCGACTATTGGCCCCTACTTTTGTAGGAAATTATGTTATGTTTCCTGAAGATCCCTTAGGTAGAACAGGTCCCAAACTTGAAGAATTTTTAAGGTTCTGAAGGTAATAAAGAAATAATGTAAACATATATTTATTTAATTTTCATATTTTCTTGCAAGTATAAATTTCTTGATTAAGGATATACACTCATTGC